GAATGTTCTCGCTGATTCAATAAAGAGAATCATAACGAGCTCTCTTGTACTTTGTTAACAGAGCCGTTTACAGTTTTCACCCTAACGTTAAGAAAAGCACGCAAAACACTGCATATCACGTTGAATGCTCGACAACGAGATCATTTGGTGCCCTGGTACAACTTACAAGACGACAGAATTCAGTGGGGGTTGGAGCCTGTCGTGTGCGCATCGTCAGTTGGGTTGCCGAGATGCAGGATTGCAGGTTCCTGTATGTGGCGATGGACACTCGACGTGTGTGCCATATTCTGCTGGATACAAATATATCTCCCAGGTAGAGAGAGTACTGTGTCAATGTCATCTTCATGACAACATGCACGAACGTTCGGTTCTATGTGCGCTTGAGGCAACCTGCAGACGCATACTGACCGTGTCTGGCTGGGATCATGGCATTCCTGAGTACGAAACGGTCGTGGCGGTTTCAGACGTGCGAATGTTGGTCAAAACATCAAAAAGTTGGTTTTATTGAGTATTTATCATACCCTACCAGAACCCCTTGTGGCGCAGCCGTACCAGCCCTACCCCTGCCGATTTCATCACTAACCGGCTGAAGCCACAAGGGGTTCTGATGTGAAAAGTCAATACACAATATAGCTGCGAGCAATCCGTCCCGAGTTCGATCCCGGTTGGAGTCCTTCTTTTGCCTTCTACGGATACATTATCCGTAGTATCCATGTTGGTCGTTGTGTCAACCAAAACAGATTGATGTTTAGACATGGAACCAGATGCAGCGGCGGACGTGGAGCCGATGCGGGAGCCGTCGGACCTTGTGCGACTACGGGCGTATCTGGAGGAACATTTCCCCGTGGCAGAACGTGGGCTTATCTGTGCACCAATTCAAGCACGGGCAAAGCAACCCGACGTGCTTGTCCAGCTACCACTCTCGAACTCCCCCCCCATCCCCCCCGATGAAGTCGACGTGTGTGCTATATTCTGCTGGATACAAATATATCTCCCAGGTAGAGAGAGTACTGTGTCAATGTCATCTTCATGATAACATGCACGAACGTGGGCAACCTTCAGACGCATACTGACCGTGTCTGGCTGGGATATAGTCAGCTGCTGCGATGTGCTTTGATTGGAAGGCCAGGGCGGCTACTCCCACATTGTGAATGGCACTACAGATTCTTGGATTAGTGACCATGCAACAAGGAACGTGGTTGGTTACCCGTGGTCGTTCTGAGTGTGGTCGAAGTAGTCGGTGGCTTCTCTGTGCTCAAACTTGGTCCTTCGCTTGGAGCACTTATTCGGCTTGGGCTTCTCGCGAGCCCCCAGCATATTGCGGGGGCAGTCGTACGAGTAATGACCCGCCGTATGTTGTCGTTGAAGATGGAGCAACTTAACGTCATCGACTCCACCACGGCGCCTTGCATGCTTTCTCGCAGTCTTCAGGCTGCGAAAACTGCACAAAGGCCACGCCGCGAATCGCGCGGGGGTCCTTATGGCGCAACAGCGTCACCTGTGCAATATTCCCTTACCCAGTGAGCACATGTGCGCTGTCGTAGTTCGTGTACGCTTACGGAAGCATGGACATGTACATGGTGGACGATCATGCCAGCCTTGTAGTACTACAACAGTACTTGAAATCCCTAGCAGAAATTCTCAATTTTCATTGAATTTCAGTCGAACCATCACTGTAATTTGAGACATTTTCATCATTAAATTGGTATTTTGTGCATTCATCGACCTGCAATTCTATTGGCTGCATTGGCCCTTCGAAAAGGCGTCAACACTAAAGATCTTGCCTTTCGATCGAACATGAGCAGCTTCCACGACCTCATGGCGCTGAGTGATCTGCTCCAGCCAGCGGAGGAAGATGAGCGACATGAGGTAAGCATGTGTACGTGTCTACTTCCTCCTTACCTGCCTGTTGACTTGACCTGTCCATCCTCTGTGTCGTTTGCCAGGGAACGTTGACCAAGACTCCTCCGATGCCTCATGCAAACATACCCTTACCAAAAGGTCCGACTCAACCACAAACGTCCTGTGAAGGCACTCAATGATGACTCTTGTAGAAGCCTTGAATCGACGAATTGGGCAAATCGTCCCCCAAGATCTGAAAGCGATATGGACCGACGATGAAGTGGCTGGCAGCGACGACGACGACGAGTTTGACACGCGAACTCGCCCAAAGTAAGCACTTAACGGATAGCCAGCAACCACGTATGCATATGACGCTTTTCAAACGGTAGATACGAAGTTCTGTTCAAGCAGGAAGTGATGACCGAAGACGTGTTTCTGGGGCTGGGGGACAAGGACCCGTCCAGTTCAAACTGCGACCACATCACCATCAAGATGGTGTTCCCAGGGCACTGCCTGGATGAAATTGGCCTCGATCTCAACAAGCGCAGACTCGTGGCCCAGTCGCATGCGTGGTACGGATGACGTGGTATCACCATGGGAGACTGACCAACCACCTGATGGATTGGTTTCTATGGTCCTAATATGTAGCAAGTTGGTCTTGTATTGGCCCACACCAGTGCAGCACAAGCGAGGGCGAGCGACGTGGGACGCCAAGACGGACACGCTAGCCGTGACCGTTCCCATGCTCAAGGACGAGTGGTAGATTTGTATATATGTAGGCTTTACTCTTGGTATAAATAATACTAGAAGGAGATTGATTGGTCCTACTACAGGACTTTCGGTTGTAGTACAGTACTGTCATGTGTTCAACACAAACGACTAAACCATACTATATTTCAACGACAACGTCCAAGGGATGCGCGGGTCCAGTTGCAGCGCCTGCTCATCGCGTGGCTGGCGTCATTCGTAGCCACAAAATGCCATTCAACCTTCACGCGACCCGTTCCAGTACATACATCGCCGGTGACTGTATATAAACCCTCTTCTATTTATATTAATATTTACTACTACGTAGTACTCGAGTAGTACTATTTTATAATAATATTCGTCCAGATGTGTGTGACATGACAGGCGACATGAGCCGGGACGGATAAGTATCTTCATCGCTGACGTCCATCCATCTGACCGCGTTAATATCTGAAACACAATGGATCTTTAGTATTATTTCACTGGTCTGCTTGGTTCTACAACGCAAATGGATTCGACTAATAGCCACAAGAACATGCGACACATACTCAACGGATTAACTGTGCATTCAATCCTATGATAAACTGAATTGGATGGGGTCGTCGTCGTCGGGGCTGGATCGCTTCTTAGGCCGCGGTGAACGGCTACGATGTAATACAACCCGATTAGAATAAATACAATATATATATATATATATATATATATATCCATGAATACAGTTGCATGACAAGGCGGAACATTCAGTTGGAACTTTCGATTCAAACAACATTTCAACAAAATAATATATATATACATATATATATATATATATACTGTATATATTGGACAACGTTTCGATGGACACTCTGTTGTTGGAGAGAGAAAATACACCAGAGCCATTCAAAATCAAGGAAATGTATCCAAAGCATGGGTAGAGCCTACCTGGACGGCCGTGGATCGTCGTGTGGCGCCAAAGCTAAACCAACTCGCGAACGGGGCGGCGGCGGCGGCGCGGCGGACGGCACTGGCACCAGTGCGAGCAACTGGTTCGGATGTGAGAGAGGTGACGATGGGAAAGGAGGAGAATCGTACTTGGGAGTCGAGGGGTGAAGTAGAACGCGAGGCGGGTGGTGAGTTGGTCGAGGGTACTTGCGCGCTGCCACTCGAGGACGAGCCCAGCGAATGTCACGACGCTGTGCATGACAAGACGTAGCACGAGGCCTAGCCAAGCAGCAGCAACACTCTGGTTGATAGTAACAATCGAGAATACATAGAGATCATCAGGACGTACATTTGATCAGGACCGTCCACACCATGTCGGCGAGGGTGGTCGGGTCTGCGAATGGTTTGAAAAGGGTGTGGAGCGGCGTCGCGTCGCCGTTGGAAGTAGCGACATCGACGGACGTCTTGGCACACATGAGGGTGATGCATAGCAGCGATGCCGAGCTCGTCTCCGCCGCGATGAACCCGCGGAAGCGATGGTCCAGGACGACCATGCACGCTGCTCCGAGGACATAGACACCTGTGATAAGAAACATGAGCTCTGTTTCGACTAGTGAGAGAGGTCAGTACCTAGGATGACTTGGGTCGACATAGCGAGCACAAAGATCGCGACAAATGGCTGAACGTAGTCGGAAAACGGGCGCAAGATCTCGAGCAGTGTCTTGACAGCGGTCGCGGTGGCGATTGCGCGCCACGGGACTTGCTCGGATGCGATGGAAGTTGAAGCAAGGACGGCTTCAGGCACACCACCACGGATCGGATCTCCATGAAGACACGGTTGCGTCGTAGCGGCCGCACTGGTGGCATGGATGTCCGCGGTCGTAAGGGAACTGGAGCTCATGAATATGATTTGTGTTTTGGATTCGCCACAACTCAACCGACATCTGTATGCGACGCGGTGATTCGTGATTTCAGCTCAGTTGAGAGCCAATCACAATCGTTAAGCGATTATGATTGGCCATAATTGTGTTCTCTTGTATATGATTGGCTATAATCAGGTTCTCCTATTCGTAGTATTTCAGAAAAACTTTATCCGGATATATTTTCTCCGGATACTACACACGTTATCGGGACGGCAGTGGGTCCAAGGAACGCACGGACTTCTTCAACGTCATCGAGGCCGACGATGCTTTAGTGTCGGCGGCGACACCCTCATCGGGGGAAGCGCATGAGATGAAGTTAAAGATCTCCATCGCTGTGGGTCGGTGCTGCGGTAGCGGTTGAAGCAACATCCGCAGGCACGAGCGTATACTTGTGCCATACCGCAAGGGTACGTCAGTCATGATCGTCGACAGACTCTTCTCCCGCACGACTTGCTCGGATCCTACACGCCACAGTTCATGTGGCAAGGGAAGGTACTAGGTGCAGGTACAGTACCATACCAGTGACGAGGGAGTAGAGCAGGCAGCCCAGCATCCACATGTCCGTCTTTTCATTGAGCATCATCCCGTTCGTACACCGCGAAGTACTCGTTAACTCGGGGGGAACTAACGACGGATGCACAATCGACGGCAACTTGGACAGGTCGTCTTGGGTAAACGGTTGCTTGAACGCAAGGAACCCGCCGAGTTTGAGTTGCTGCCGTCGTTCGCCAGCAGCGTCGTCGATGGCGTACACGTTGCTCCGGTACAAATTTCGTGCATTGAGGTTCCAGTGGCATATATGTTGGCTATGGAGAGCCGCCAGCGCTCCACTCACCTAACTCTCATCAGACTCACACTCTCTCGCTTCAATGTACCGCATTGAGAATGTGCAAAATGTCTGCGGCTGGCAGCGGCGGCCGCGGCGACGGCGGCAGCCAATACCCGCCTTCCATGCAGTCTTCCGTGACGACAAACACAACGGGCCAGCACTCGTTCAAGTTGCCGTGGGTGGCAAACTGCTGGTACATGTATTGAAACACATGCAGGACTTCCACCGTGTGTGGCGGTCGGTGGTGATGCAGCTGCCTCGCAAGCATCACGACGTTGTCCGCTTCGTCCACGGACGCGCATCGCATCGTGTGAACAATGCAGTGCATGTTGGTGGCGCTGTCCACCATCCGAAGCACCATGTTGTCGGTCGGCGAACGGACGGCCAGAACTCGCTCAAAGTTAAGTCGCTTCAACATGATCGACGGATCCAAACACTTCTGCAGCAGCCGGACAAACTCGCGGTGCGCGGCGTCTTGTTCGAGGATCAACGGCGTCTCCATCGCCACCTTGGCCCGTTCCACTTCCTGCCACCACCCCCATGATCATCCAAAGCCCATACAAGTGATTCGATGTAGAATATATATATATTCTACACATCGAATCACTATATATATATAAATAGCAAAGTAAACTACGGTACCTCGTGCGACCGCTCGTCCTCTTCAAACAAAAGTGCCCGTGCCATCTCTTCGCGCTCGACATCTTCGCGTCGCTTGGTGAGTTTGGCCAACAAGTCGTGGCTACTGCCTCTTGACGCGGGGGTTCCCGACGTTGTCGGCATCGGTTCGGACGAGAGGCGACTTTGGGAAGGAGCCAGTACCCTCGCTTCCCACGCATCGTAGCTCGCCAAGAGACTTGCGGCGGCGACTGTATCGTTCAAGGTAGCTCGCACAATTTGGTGAGCCATGGACGCAGAAGGAACTTCGTCCGTCTTCGGCGTTAATAAAGCATCGAGTGCCGCGGTACTAGTACTATCGCTCGACTGAGCGAGGAATTTGGCTATGCTGGCCAAGTCTAACGAACAACTAGTTGTTAGACTGGTCGACTAGTAGATATGCGACTAGTAAGGATACGACTAGTAGATACAAATCGGTGCAGTTTGTCAAGTGTGTATGTACCTGTCTCGTCTGCTGCGTTTGTGCCGGTTGGCCATTGGCGCAAGGACATTTCAATATTGTGCATACGTCGGGCGAGATGGCGGCCCCACGTGGCCCTACCTCGACGCACATAACTCGATTAGCCAATCTAATGTTTCTCCATCGTCACATTTGACTTTGAATCATATATTTGACATGCACGAAGTCCTAAACTGTAGAAGGACCTACCGATGGGTCCCTTCGACGTCGTAGCGATCGAGTTTGCCGAGCCTCGCGCGGCATCGTCGGCAGTGGACACAGTATGACGGCAGCGACGGCTGCAATTGCAAGTACACGTGTTTGTGAGCGAGTTGCCAGATCGGTTGCTGGTCGTCCCCAGTTGGTCCCGCCGTTGCTCCAGAAGAACGAAGCTCGCGAAAGTGGAGGACATGACGAACCTGGGCCAGACACGTTTCCTAGAAAGTTGTTTAGCAACGTTCTGGTCAGCATCGTAAATTTCATCATTATTGTATTCAAATTGTTCGTGGGAAATGTATACTAGTAATACAACGCCAAACATATTGCTTGGTGGCAAGACAAACCCACCTTGGCCGTGCAAAACGATTGCTGCAGTCGATTCACGATCAGTTGCTTGCGATTGGCTGCTTCGCCCGTCTTAACGTTGGACATGCTGCTCTGCCACGTTGCCACGTCAGCACTCACCACGCCCAATCCGGCCCGCTCCATCGCCGCTTGGATGCGGTCCACCTGTGCCACAACGTCTTCCGAGATGTCGACAAAGGTGACAAACTGCCGCAGGTTGACCTGGCGCAGCTGGAGAAAGAAGGCTTGCAGCACCCCCGTGGTCACGAGGTCGTCGAGGCCTCGTCGGGGCGGCTGCACCCATCGCTGGACATCGGTCCTACGATTGCGATCGAAGGTTTTGATTCGTTCGTTTCACGAGTTAATCGTTTGTACGCAAAACCAACGTACGGCTGTGTGACAAGGTGGTGCAGCACATGCAGCGCCGACACTGTCCCGCGCTTGTCCATGTCCATGGCGACAAATAGCCGCTCCAGCTGTCGTGTGCGGTGCCTTACGAGCGCCGCCCGCTCTTCCGACTCGAACAACTCGTCTCGCTTCAGCTTTGTCGCAGGCTCACCATGATTATTATTACTATCGTCGCCACTGCTCAAATCGATTTTGCCTACAAATAATGTATTTAGTATTCGCTTCAACCTACACTCGACGACGACGATGACGGGTGCCGAAACATGTGACGACGTACCGTGGATGTCGAGCCCGTTGGTGGCCTTGGCGACCAGCACGCGAGTGATGTGATGGCGCAGCTGAATCTGCTCCTCCTTGATGTCTGCCCGACGCCACGCCGCGGCCTGCTTGACCTGGCGCTTTCGTCGCAAGGCCAATCGATCTGTGACCCGCACGACTTCCTTTTGCACTTCGTCCTCGCGGAGCTGCGCGTCGAGCTCGGCGCGGCGGGCCGCGTACTCGGCCGAGTATTCGTACCGTTTGGCGTTTACAAGGAGTTGGGTCATGCGCACCGGAGTGGGGTGATGGTGTTGCTGGGGCAGTTGCTGCACAACCGCTTGCTTGTTGGTTTGTCGTCCTCGGTGACCTTTGTGCTGCTTGGCCAACGCTTTGGCGTTGCGTTGACGCCGGCGCATCCACACGGCCAACTGGGTTTCAATCGTCTGAACCAAGTCGTCCATGCAACGTTGCACTTCGGGAGCAACTTTGTCAAGAAGGATTGATCCTACATAGTCATGTTTGTTGGCATATGACGTGGCAGATTGTGGTGTGTCCATCGGCAGGTTGGTCACGCGTTCGCCGGTCGTCGTGTGTATAAAGTAGAACGTTCCGTCCGCTGGATTCACACCTCCAAATGCCCATTCCCCGCCTTCCGACGTCGCCGTCCAGGTGTCGCCGACTTGTGTGCCGTCAGTCGGCTCGGACGATACTACCGACTCGGGGGTGGTGACAGGTGGTTGATCAACCACGTCGGCGGCGGCATCCGGCGGGATCTCCCACGCCGTGTCGCCCGTGATTCGGTTGTAGTAGTACGTGTAGCCTCTTTCGTCAACATATGCGTCCCAGTCGGCCATAATTCCCGACCCACATGTGACGCTGCGGTTACACGAAACCGTCAACACCTCACAGTATACATATTGTGTGCTCATTAGCCCGTCACACTATTTTCAGGCACAAACTATTTTGACCATATCAGGATTTTGATTCGCCACTTCAATCGCGTTCTGGATTTTCATTGGTCGGTCGATAGTGTTGCTCCAGTTTGAAACAATTGACCAAAGAAGTGCATACTACTGTACTACTGTACTGTATTGGGTTATTTCCAAGTTGCGCTGGTGGGTGACTGGCCCAATAAGTATGCTCTCAACGGGTACTGTATTTACACACAAGCCCAGTCTTGCTACCAGAGCGCAGGCAGCTAGCTAGCTACATCGGTGAGGCTTTGCCATCATGTAAACTCGCCTTGCCACCTCGACACACACGACAGTGTGGCGATCGCACCTCCTCCTCCATCTTCGTCTGCCTTGTCTTGGTCGTTGGCCCTGGCCTCCACACATGCCACGATCTCAATCGTGCGTTCATCTGGCATCAAACGCACGGTAAACTGGGCCTCTACACACACATATATATATATATCGTCATGATATCCACAACAACGACATGGACCCCCCCCCTATGCTGCGCTTCTTGTACCTGGGTTCCATGGACGCGCATATCGCATGAGTTTGGACTTGAGCTGCTGCAGCGGGCCGGTCTCAACGTTTCGGGCGCCGTACTTGGCAAACACTTTGCGCACGTCGACACCTCGAACAACCGCCCGCCGTTCAATGTACAGCATCGACTCGAGTGTCGAGAGGTGGGGGGCTAGTGCTGGGTCGAAGGCGAGCGATTTCCAGTACACGCCCTGGTAGTACTCGCTCAGCTGGTCCAGTTTGGCCTGAATCACAAGCACAATATGCTGCGGTTCGAAGGGCAAGAAGGGCACCACCTGCCGCACCATCTTGCCGAACTGGAGGCGCGTCCACTGCGCGTCCAGCGCCCGCTTGACGTCGTTCTCGAGCTGCGTCGCGGGTACGTGGCGGCGATCGTCGTACTGGATGAGCAGCTGCTCCATCTTGGCGACCCCAATATCCGAGATGAGAAGGAACACCACGTCCGCTGTATCGATGCGCCGCTCGACGCCCCCGCGGTGGTATGTCAGGTGGGCGTTGGAGCTCATGGCACTGGTGAGTACTACAAAAGTCGGTATGCATGACAGATTAGACGTTTCAAGCGACGAACTAGATAGATGGTTGGGATGATCTGGTGGGAAAAAAATGGTGGTGTACTACTACTGTACTGTAAACTGTACATACCATCCAATGTATGTGGAATCACCTTTTGCACTTCATCAAACACGACCAACGCCTTGCCCGAGCAGCGAAACAGGTGCTCGGCTAGCCTAGAATAAATCCACGGCATTATTGCAACCATATAAAACTGAATAGATACTTGTCGGTACCTGGACTTGATTTGCTCTTGGTACTGGCTCACAGGGTTGGTGTAGTTGTCGCTAAAGTCTTCGCCCCTACGTTGCCACGTCATAGATCTCGACGGATACGGTATAAAACCAACCGGAATACCAACAGCCCCGACGGCGAGTCCTTGTCGCTATGGTCGAGGCGCTTTGTCCATTTAAACAGCGCTTCCGCGAGTAAGTTTGACGACTCGGTTTTGCCCGTGCCGGTGGGGCCAGTGAGCGCGAGCACCAGCGGCGCGTGGTCCTTGGCATGCGTCCGCCTACGTCATGCATGAGATGCGAGAAAGGGGATGCCATAATGGCACGCACGAGAACTCCCATGCTTCAATGGACGCGACCAGCACGTCCACAGCGCGATCTTGGGCTTTCAAGTTAGCCTGGAGGTGTTTGCGCACGGCCAACGACGGATGCTCGACAAATGTGCACTGCTCGCCAAACCCACTCTTGTAACCCAGCCATTCCAAACCCCAGGATAGCTTCGACAGACCCTTGGCGGTCGCCACCTTGAGCTTGTCGGAGATGTCGTCCCACGACGACGTCGGCTCGTCTTGGTTGTTGGGTGACGTGCCTTCCGAATCTGCAGCGCATGCCACCTGCATGAAGCTGCTGGCAACTAGAAACACCATGAGTAGCCCCAATTTCGTGCTCCATCTTCGCCGACGCTGCCGCCGCGGTGGTACAGACGTCCATATGGCCGTTGCTCGCATGTCGCCTTGGTTCGTTTCTGTGATGGAATTGTAGGGGCATATTCGACCAATCCAATCGCAGAAAACATTCGACCAATCGGAAGGGAGTTCATGGACATCCGGATAACATCGCCCATTATCCGAATCGTTTTGGCCAATGTGTTCGAAACACTTCCTTTCCAGGCATACCAATTTCCTGTTTAAATGGTTTTAAACAACGTTTAAATCACCTTGCAAATTAGCCAATCACCGACTTGCCCGAGCCATTGGAAGACCTTGCATGGCAAAACGAGGTTCAAGATCATTTTCCCATCTTGCATCAGCACCAAGATGGACGTTGATACCGACATGCATGTGGATGAAGTGGTCTTGAGCGCCTCGGATGTGGAGGCACATGCCGCGATTACCGCCGCAGATGACAACGACATGGACGTCGTGCCGTCGTTCCCTGCATTGAGCGCGCAACACTTGGACGGCGGCAAGGACGACTTTCGTCGCGTCCGCGTGCCTGCCCATCGCTATACACCGCTGAAGAACGACTGGCCGAACATCATGAAGCCTCTCGTGGAGCATTTGAAGCTGCAGGTGCGCATGAACATGAAAACCCGATGTGTTGAGCTCAAAAACGGCCCGCACACGGACGACGCCGGCGCGCTGCAAAAGGGCGCAGATTTCGTGCAGGCGTACATGATGGGGTTCGAAGTGCAGGATGCGGTGGCGCTGCTGCGTCTGGAAGATTTGTTCGTCGACACGTTCGAAGTCACTGACGTGAAGATGCTCAAGGGCGACCACTTGAGTCGCGCGATTGGGCGGCTGGCAGGGCAGGATGGCAAGACCAAGTACGCCATCGAGAACGCCACGCGCACCCGCGTGGTGCTGGCCGACCAGAAGGTGCACATCCTCGGCTCCTTTTCCAACATCAAATTGGCGCGGGACGCCATCTGCTCGCTCATCATGGGCGCGCCGCCCGGAAAAGTGTACAACAAGATGAAGAACGTCGCCACACGAATGAACGAACGATTTTAATACGGCGATTTTAATGAACTAATTATATTGTATCCTCCTTGTAAAGATATGTCTAAACGAGTACAGAACATTAAAGTCGATATTTTTACGTGAACAAAGTATACTGTTGCCCCTGTGCATCAACGTTTCGTCCAAACTTCAACTCCCACCAAATTTTTTTGAATCTGCCGCGCGCAGAGCTCATTTTTCGATTTACCTCAAGGAACGCACCCACGATGGACGCGCGGAGGCCATGGGCAACATGGGCGTTGGTACATATATGTGACGTCACAGCAACGATGCGGCATGTGTCGTTTGACGACTATTTCTATGTTGAATTGACTTTTTATTGCGTGATTTCCATTTTCATCGGGCACACGACACAATTCATCGGGCACATGGGCAATTGCTTGGGCACACGGCCAATTATATCGGGCACACTGCCAAATATATCGGGCACACGGCACCCGGGTGCCAAATTTAACGGGCGCATGGCCAATTATATCGGGCACACCGCCAAATATATCGGGCACACCGCCAAATATATCGGGCACACGACCAAATACACCGGGCATTCGTCCAACTGAACTGCAAAAAGGTGTAGTAACAACCATGGGTGATATTTCAATAACGTTATTAGGATATGTTACAGCAACTCATTGTCAAATATCGCCATCAAAGCCTGACTCGTCGTCCCAGTCACGGGTGCCGTGTGGTTGAGCAACTTGGCCACGAACTGAGGTGGTGGTGTTGATACCAAGAATATCGTTTCAGGGCCAAGCGTTTAACTGATGGTCGGGTGAACTCGCATCGATCGAAACCAACTGCGCGCCGACGGCAGCTGGGCGAGAATTCCTGGCTTGGGTCTCGACGCCGAGTTTGTTGGCGTTGTCGGCGGCGGCGGCACCGTGCCATCCCCCCCGTCCCCCTCTATCGGCATCCCCCGTGCATCATCGTCGAACTCGTCATCCAAATGGATCTTGGGCAGCTTGGAAAACGTGTCCATAGCTTGCACCTACAACACACACACAATCCCCCAGTCGGGGCGTCAGTGGTGAAATCAACGAACCAACGACCGACTGACGATCGAACGAAATCAAACTCGCTCTAAGGTCCACGAATGAACAACCCCCCATATCAAAACAAACAATCGATCCATGCACGCCCCGTACGTACGTACCGCGCGCACGCCGGCTCGAATTTTGCGACGGAGGTTAAACTTTCGCAGTTCTTCCCTGGTCTTGGTGAGCGGAAACGTCGGCACGACGGTGCCCGTGATCCACACGTGGCAGAGCAGCTGGTCGACTGTGTACCTCTCGACGGGGGCGACCACGAGCATCTTGGATAAAAAGTCCTGCGCGTCGGGCGAGAGGTCGTCGGGGCAGTCGTACTCGGCGTGCTTGATGCGGGAAAACAGCTCCACTTGGGTATTGCCATGGAACGGCATGTACCCCACAAGCAAGATGTACGTGATCACCCCCACACTCCACACATCCACGGGCTTGCCATAAGGTTCGTGGAGGAGGATCTCGGGCGCGACATAGCTGGGCGTGCCGCACGCAGTCGTGAGGGTACTCTCGGCTGCGACCACGGCATACCCAAAATCGCCAATTTTGACCGACGTGTTGTCAGAAGCCGACGCCAAAAAGATATTTTCCGGCTACCGTTCGGATAGAAAGATATTGATCAACATACAATATATATTATATATATATTTGTGTACCTTGAGGTCTCGATGGACAATGTCGTGGTCGTGGCAGTGTTTGATGGCTTGGAGCACCAAACGCACAAGCGCTCGCGCTTCGTTTTCGGAGTAGTACTCCTATGTATGTACATATCCAAATCCGCATATCGTGAATCCTTGGACGTCGTGGTGCCACGTCATCACAGCTCATTGAGAACGTCGCATGTAGTAGTAGTAGTAATACTACCTGCTCGACGATCCGATCAAAGAGCTCGCCCCCTGCCAAGTATTCGGTGACGAGGTAGTACTGGTCCGTGTCGGCGTACACCGCGTGCAATCGGATGATGTGTGGATGCGATCGAAGCTAACGATCCATACATCCCCCCATTATTTACAGTATGATTGATGGACATGCTCGTAGTTCAGAGGTCGGAGAATGCAAAAACCTGGTACAAGTAGTTGATTTCGTGGCCGAGGGCGTCGAGGTAGAACTGGTCGAGTCCGATCTTTGCGATGGCTTTGATGGCAACGGGAGTGCCGGTGGTCTTGTCCAGACCGGCAAACACCTCCGAGTGGGCCCCCCGGCCCAGGGTGGGGCCAAACGCGTACGCGGCGTGGATGTCGGTCAGAATCGGGTGGGATGTCGCGACGGTTGCATCAACTGGACGACGACCTGATGGGGACGAGACGGCGGCGGTGCTGTCGTCTGTCGTGGATGGGTTTGATGATGATGTTGTTGGTATGGTTTGGGCTACAGTTGACTCTACTGACGACGACAGCTCGACAATGTTTGAGGGTATTGGCAGCACCGGACAGTGGTGGCCAACGCTCGACGAACTGGGACAAGTAACTGGACCCCCATTCACCAGTGTGTTAGTGATCGGAGGGGCTTCGGGTATGGAGCCATCCGCCGTCGCAGAGGGGGACGAAGGCATGTCCCGTCACTGTAACACGTTCACGAGCAAATGATCATGGAGGTCAGTCAGCACGATGGAGACTGTGCTATGAATAGCCACAAAACTTTGGGTCTCCTCTACAACTCCATACTCCATTACTATATCGTCATCACTGGCCCAGCTAATACTTGAAGTAACGTTATTATAATATGGTAACGTTCTTCGGTACCTACTAGTACATATACTTACATACTACTCACGCGTTGGGTCGTCTAACATTACTAGTTCGACCTATTAGTGTGTACACAAACATACGCGCGTCGATATATATCTCTTTAATCCCGTGCATTCTAGCTGTAGCTAGCTAGCTACCTTAGCTAGAAATGTACTACTTAGCGATGTCGTGCAGTATTCAACAGTGTGTGGTTTAGTCGTGTTATCTAAGGCGAGTCGGCCGTCTTGTGGGTACCCGACATGCCTCTGGCCAACACTGCCGTCATTTGCACCTACGACGACACACCATCATCACTCACTCACACGATATACAATATAGAAACATTTCATCGTCATAAACGACACCATCTATGGGGGAAAACCAACTTTGTATCTATCAATATCAATATATATATATATACCGTGCGCACGGCTGCTTTGAATTTGCGTCGGTGGTTATACTTCTTGAGCTCTTCGAGGACTGTGCCGAGGGGTGCTGTGGACACGTCCATATTGACCATCCACGCGTGCTTTAGCAACTCGTCGGCCGTGGCTCTCGAACTGGCGTGTACTTTGAGCATGCACCCGATGAACGCCTTGGCGTCGGCTGACACGTCATCCCAGTAGGGCGACTCAAACTTGTACGAACCGGTTTTGATAGCCGCAAAGAGGCGCGTGGGGTTGTCGTCGTGAAACGGGGGGTATCCACACAGCAAGATGTACGTGATCACGCCCACGCTCCAGATGTCCACTGATTTGCCATACGGTTCGCCCTTGATGATTTCAGGCGCCACGTACCTATATACATGATTTAATATATTTATTTATATGTTTAGTAGACGATCGCATTATGATGAAGGTTGGGTTTTCTTTGACAAACTGGACGACAGTAATATAATCATTTTACAAACAATTCGGTGTTAGCCAATCAGATTGCAGGAAACCCATGATCGTTGTTTATTCGTGTGTGTGTGACTTTCAATTAGTGTGGTGACCAAAGTCCACATTTTTTGAAAATAACGAACTACTAGTATATTGACCATTTAAAATGGACAAACTGGACGAAAGTATAATCACGTTACAAACAATTCGGTGTTAGCCAATCAGATTGCAGGAAACCCATGATCGTTTATTCGTGTGAGTGTGACTTCAATTAGTGTGGTAATTCAGCCCCAATGTCCACATTTTGACCATTTAAATTGGACGCGGATATTGATTACGGAGGGGATAAGAGTGTGGGTCTTACCCGGGAGTCCCGCACGCGGTGGTGAGGCCATCGATAGACTGCTGCTTTGCAAACCCAAAATCTGCCAGCTTAATCGATGCGTCGTCGTCGGCGCTTGTTAGCAGGAGGTTTTCTGGCTACATGTATACATCAAGAGGATGCATGAGGTGGAGCGGAATGGGAGCGGAATGGATATACCTTCAAGTCTCGGTGCACGACGTTGTGGTCGTGGCAGTACTTGATCGCTCCAAGAAGGATGCGCACGAGCTCCCGCGCTTCGTTTTCCGAGTAAAACGTCTAGAACCGGCATCAAGGTGTGAGGATGATGCGATCGTTGATGGACACGTACTTTCTCGACGATTCGGTCAAACAGTTCGCCGCCCGCGATGTATTCTGTGACAAGGTACGTGACGTTGGGCTCTTCGATGACGTCATGCAGCGACATGATGTTCGGGTGACTCAACTAGGAAGGACGTGAAGAAGGCCGTGGAGGATATGACGTGATGGGTGTCTACCTGCTTCAAGATGGAGATCTCCTGGCGCAAACCCCGCACATCGGCAGGCGACAACGACGAGGTTTTGATGCACTTGACGGCAAACTTGGTCCCAGTGACCTTGTTCACACCTTCGCGCACGACTGCAAACGCGCCAGCCCCCAGACGTTTGCCCAGCGTATATGTTTCCTTGAACGACAATGGCGGCGCTGTGGTGGCGGTCACCACCTTGGGTGAGGATGGCGCTGCCTCTGTGGGGATGTCGGGTTGGCTGCTCGATGATGGCGGAGAGATAACATCCCGATCGTTGGAGTCATCTGACGGAGTCTTCTTCATCGCATAAACTACCATTGCCGCAGCTAAGGCGCCGACAACGACCCACGTAGTCACGTGGACCGCCGAAGTGGTCGGCGGCGGCATCTCTCGGCCGCGAATCGGTGTGATTGGGTCAGCCAATCGTCGAGCATCACTTACCAGCATTCTATCTTAAAAACCAAGTGTTATATTTCAGCGGGTAACTACCTACACTCTGCATTCTTATCTGTGGCATAGTAATACTAAGTTCAATAACAAACATTCTGGAGTGGATGTTCTAAAAAGCTACAAACCGTCTGGTATATTCTGATTGGACATATCTCAACCGTATGTCGACTTCTCTCAAGACACTCGCGCGTGGCATGACTGGCGGAAGTCTGTACAAGGGGACGACTGTGTGACGAAGCATGTCACGCAAGGAACTCCGCCATGTTCAAAGCCGTAGCTCGTGTTTGCCAGCAATCATGCCGCCGCTCTGTTGGCAAAGACAGTGAGTTGAACAGGAGCTACAGTCTGGAACATGGCGGAGTTCGTTGCATGCATGCAGCTCGGGGGCAGTGGTCACTTGTGTGTGACCACTGGAAGACTCCGATTCAGAATCAAAGCGAGATCAACTCGACGTGCAGCGGAACCTCCAAGCTCATGCGACTCCAGCACAACTCTGTACTTTCAACTTCTAGGGCGTTTCGTTGCATGTCGAGGATGATTTCGCATTGATTCTGAATCCGAGCAGCCTTGACTCGCCGCAAGTGGTCGCGTCACCGCATTATTGTCGTTCGAAGCAATGGACGAATGAGCACAACACCATGTCGTCTGCGCATACTCGTAGGACTATAGTAGCGTTACGCAGACCTTGTCGACCACCACCTGAGCTATCGATGATAATGATTCGAGTTTGGCCGATTTTGGGTGCAACGTGATATATAAACTGCGTTGTGCTGTCGCGGCATAATTCAAGAGAAGATGGATTGCAATAATGCTATGATTCGAACCTCCTCTTGCGTCCAAACTCGTTTCGACATCTACACGGATGATCATGCGCGGCGTCGGTTGAAAAGGCCATGACTCCGCGAGCGAGGTCGTCGCGGCATACGTTACTGACCGTGAGGATTGCAAGTTGACGTTGTTACGGGATTTCGTCATCACGTCAAAGTGTTGGGCTAGCACAAGGAACGTCTACTGGGCCTCCAAAAAGGCTGGGACGACGAGAAGACAAGTAGAAGTGCAAGGCAACAACTGGTATGAATGAATACAAGGTCGACAACTCTTTTAGCCAATCACGGTCACGTAATTTTAGACTAGCCAATGGTAGGGCTTCATTTGTCGACAGGTCACTTACAAGTAAGAAACAATTGGCTCGTCACTTTCAGAATTCCTTCAACATAGATACAGTAGTACTGTATATGCAAGCTACCTGACCGAATGGTCTAGTACTTATGTTCAAACGTCGACCAATAATTCTGCTACTGTATGTTCGTCGCCGTAGCCCAGCTCGTATCCAACTCGCAGTTTTTTGTCCACTTTACCAGTACTAACTGTATGCTTACATGTACTAACAACAGTGGTTATAGCCGTACGGGTTATCCGGACACTATACGGATAATTCTGCTTGGATAATACTAACAGGAAGTGGTTACTAACCAAGCAGCTAACTTACAGTTAAGTAACGTTATCAAATCAACTAACGATTGTATGTGCAGGGAAATACTGTCCAGAAATGATAATCCTCATATTCGACCAAACTTTGGCTAATTAAGCATTATTACAAGGATGGACTGTACCCTACTTACTACCTACATACACTAGCAGTTCCAAAATCAAAGCAGCAGGATGTCCTGTACTGCCACACACTCGTTCTGGTCTCATTGCGTGCCCCAAGATTTGAGTGAGTAAAACAAGTTGTAAAAGTGACATTAGCGGACTCTTCCTCGTGTTCGTTCACACGACACACGGACGGTATTGATGCTGTACCTGTGTGTCTAGTCACCGTTCCTCATAGACTAGTAGTGTCATCTGCTTAGGGCTTGACTGCATCACCAGTACCAGTAGCAGCAGCAGTACCAGTAGCAGCAGCAGCTTCCGCCACTGGCGCTTCGCCTTGGACATTCACCTTGACATCGTCGGCCGCGACAGCTTCCAACTCATCGTCTGACCCCGGGGCGTCCTTGCCATGCGGCGGAGGGACCAAGCCCCGCGTTAACGCCGCCGTCACTTGCACCTATGTATGTATATGCATATTCATGACAAGTATGTGGACGGAACGATTCGTACCGTGCGCACAGCCGCCTTGAACTTTCGGCGGGTGTTGTACTTCTTGAGCTCTTCCATGGCCTTGGTGAGCGGCACCGTCGACACTTCGTCGCCCGTGACCCATACATGCTCGAGCAACTGGTCCGCCGTGTGGCGGTCGTTCGGGTTAACGATCAGCATCTTGGAGATGAAGTCCTTGGCGTCGGCCGACACGTCGTCCCAGTAGGGCGCGTCAAACTTGTACTGGCCGAGCTTGATGGCCGTGAAGAGGCGCTTCTGGTTCTCGTCGTGGAACGGGGGGTACCCGCAGAGTAAGATGAACGTGATCACGCCGATGCTCCAAATGTCCACCGACTTGCCGTACGCTTCGCCCTTGAGGATCTCGGGGGCGACGTACCCCGGAGTGCCGCACGCGGTGGTGAGGCCGGCCTTCAAGTCCTGCTTGGCAAACCCAAAGTCGCCAATCTTGATATACGCGTCGTCGTCCTTGCTGGTCAGCAGCAAGTTCTCAGGCTACACAGAGAAGGGTGAGGAACGCGTGACGACAACGACGTCGAACCTTCAAGTCGCGATGGACCACGTTGTGGTCGTGGCAGTACTTGATCGCACCAAGCAGCACTTGGACCAAGTCACGCGCTTCTTTTTCCGTGTAAAACGTCTACCAGGTTCATCTGAGGATACGAAAGGACTGCAAGGAAGGTGGTACCTTTTCGACGATGCGGTCGAACAACTCGCCGCCCTGCATAAACTCCGTGACGAGGTAGTAGTATTGCGCTTCAGTGTACACTTCAAAGAGGGTCATGATGTTGGGGTGTTCCATCTACGTTGCATGCTTGTCAACGTCGCGTCCCCTTGATATGGCAACTAGTACCTTCTTGAGGATATCGATTTCCTCGTGGAGCGCGTCCAAGTCTTCCTGGGACAACCCACTCTTCTTGATGCACTTGATGGCAAACTTCTTGCCCGTCGACTTCTGAATCCCCTCCTTCACCACGGAGAACGTGCCTTCCCCCAGTTTCTTGCCCAGCGTGTAATTGGCTTCAAACCCATGGCGCTGCGGCTCGTTCGTCACCAGTTGCGCACCAGTAGACCCTGTGGCTGCTGAGGATGCGGGAACGGCACCGTCATTCTGGGCGTTCGGCGCGGCCGGCACTTGAGGGATCGGACTCGACTTGACGCACCCCATGTTGTACGAATGAGGCCCAATTTGGAAGTAACCCCATAGATATATTCGTTCGATATTCGACCAAGGACTTTTGCTTCAATATCTTGCGTTCAGTATACCACTTAAATTCGGATCCACCCGAATTAGGATGCCTAATTAGGCCTTGGAATTGGTGACACACTCTACAACTGAATTGCTTGACCAAGGTTGTGGGGTGATTGATTCTAAGCGGCGATGATCTCATGCCAGTGGAGAGCAACAGCATGCATGCTTCCAGCGACGTGTCTCTACTGTAAACAGCGCAAATGTGTCTGCTCTGCAGAGAGCGAGTCCGCAGCTCCTACCCGCGATAACCCGTATGCTAATACACTATATTTTGTTACCTGTAAATAGTGTAGCAACGGCGGTGTCGGGTGTGTTTTTCGGTGCACTTTGTTATCCATAACGTTACTATTAATAGAATTGGGTAGCCAATAATTGCCATTAACAAGTCAACATAACTATTGCATGGAATGAAATGGGCTCATACGAGTGCCTGGTGAGGTGGGACATACTACTTCCCACCTAGGCATTGATTGTATGTACACCAAACACAAGTCGTGATCCAAGTTGGCAGAGAACTACAAACCTCGCTACAGTAACGTTAGCGTTACAAAACCATGGCGAAAATCCGGGCTCATAAATTCACTTCCAGTTAACTGCAAGTTTGGAATAATACTGTAATACTTACTATTAATAGTAGTACGACCAAGAAAGTGCAGAATCCCGCCAATACTTTTAACGATCACCAACATAATAATATTAGGTTGTGTACCAGGTCTTTTTGAAATTGTATGTGGTTTTTTATAATTGACTTTCGTAAATAATCATTATATCATTGTATGTCGCCTTTGCGGCAAAATAAGTCGCAAAAGCGCTCTGCACTATCTCCTCGGTCCATTGAACGAATCTGGCGCTGTAATATACTGTAGCTCATGCTTCGTTGAATAAAATTAAATTTCACTGTAAAACATAATAATTTGTGTATAATGTTGTGGAGGCGTAACGATACAAAACATATCGAACTACAGTAGTACATTCTACCCACCTTGTCTTTCATCAAGCTCGCGACTGACACGTTCATGTTGCCATCGGCAATTCCTTGACTCTTAGCACGCGTGAGCACCTATGGTGCCGACGTGGCAGTTGTACTTGTTGGCTAAGTGTTGGCCAAATCCGTTTGGCAGTCTACTCTTGAACAAGGTGTCACGGTACAATGTAGGATAAGTCCCGCCTTCCAATTTTGAGTGATTAATGAATGTTTGTCTGATTTATGAATGTTTGTATTTTCGGAGTGTTGATATTATATACATTTTTGTATTGACATATCGAAATCCAAAAATGGACATGCTATATTGCGGTTGCACATCAAGTGACAGGCACTTTCTTCTTATCCAATCAGCTCCTCTACACTAAACCCAGGGGTTTTTACGCGTTAATTTGAATTTAACTTCAAATTATTATGATGTGTCATGTCTCCCTTCCTTCAAGACGCACCATTGTATTGTGGGACGGGGGGAGTAATAACCACTTTAGTAGGTATTATTAATAATACTATTAATAGTTAGTACAAGTTTGTGACACGCAAGTTCCGGGATTGTAGATTAAGGTAACGCATCGAAAAATCCCGAACAGCATCGAAATCGCGAACCGTGTCAATTTTGACCAATTAATGACTTCCCTTGGTGGCCGATCAAATTCTATTGGCTATGATTATATTCACCACTCCATGTTGGCACAATCAAATTCAATCTAATTTAATTCCAAACTGTGATATATTATCTGCATCCACTATGATGTAGTTGAATTCTATCATTAAAATGGTGTCGAATATAATGATTTTCATTGACGTTTTGAATTTAAACATCCAGATTAAAATTGGCGGTGTTATTTTGCAAATTTTTATAGCATCATACTTAACACAAGACATTTGAGTGTTCGTGATTTCGGAATTCTTGGAGTTCCCATCTCGGCGTGAAAGTGGTGATAATAATTTTCGTCCAAATCGCAAAACTCATTCAATTGTGCTGGAAATGGCACATTGAAATGGAGCTTGTATTATATTTTCTTTGGGTAGTCTAGTTTCTCCAGGATATCAACTTGAATGGACAGGTCAAATTTTCGGCAAAAAGTGTTCGGGATTTCGATGCGTTACCTTACATTTGTCGAAATCACTACCAGTACTAACTACTACCGGTAGTAGTAGTCTACTACCATAACGTTTTACTACGTACTAATAGTAATACCATCATTATCAGGGCGACGCCACATTCGCTGCCATCATCGCTACAGTAGCACCAACATCGGTGTCACCAACACCTTCAACTGCATGTAAGTATTCGCGTGCGTCAAAGATCGACCAGACAAACACAACCAATTGGTCCCCATCTGCCCGAGATACTGTAGTCGTGTGAGCACTGATGGGTTTTTCTCTTCCTTTCTGTGAAATATTGCTTTGCTGGCAAAGTCCACGAGATGCACAGGAACTAGTACGAAATGCAAAAAGAAGTCCTGCAATATGTTGGAGTACTTCGAAGTCATAATGTTGGCGTCGTCACACAGTTTTCACCTGTCACCTTCCTTTATGCATTGCCTTGGCCGTATAACGTAACGAGGCAATTTATGGACACCATTTTTGTCGAAGATAGCTCGAAAATATGTTGCAAATGTTGCAAATTTTATCTATTTTTTTATCATTTTATATCCCAATAAAGCTTAGGTTGTGATTGATCAAATGGAACTTATTTCATCAAGTTTAAGGAGGTATTACAGCAGTTAGGTGGCTTTGAAGTATTGAATGTTCATTGGATGAGATGCGCCAATTTATGGACAGGGTACATTATACTTAATTTGACTATACTAAAAGTTCGTTCGATTCGAAGATTTCCAATGGAAACAAATATAAGATTCCGCAGTATACATAAGAAATCAAAGGATATAGAATTTAAACGACAAGGCAACTCACAGTCAATTACAATTCCACCATTTCGACCACGTCGTCCGGAATGAGCCGCAATGTCAACATCCTGACCACCAAGTAGGCTCAGAAATGGTACGGCGTCTCAGGATTCTCACATCACTACATCTATATTGTGTGGATTGCAATGTCGTGGTGGCTCTGGTGGGCCAACGCGGTGGAGCAAGAGGTCTTGGTAGCACCCATCGCAAAGTGCTAAAGCCGCCACTTCAGCACTTGCGATGGGTGCAATCAAGACGTCTTGCGCCACCGCCCGCGCAACCACGTGATCACACCGGCAGGGAGATGTACGGTACCGATACGGGCTGGATGGTGGA